CAAATTAGTTCGTGACCTTGGACTACTGCAGTTTTGTCTTAGATTCTTGTTTTTAAAAACTTCAAAAAACAAGAAGGAACACACTGGCTGATTTGAATGGTGGCTGTGAGAAAAAAAACCTGTACTTTGAAACTATGGACAATGGGGGGCGGGTGGGAAGAAAAAGACAGCTGTATTGAGGGCCTTAAGTAAACACTTGTCAACTCAAACTCATACTTGAGACTACGTAGACAAACTCTCCCAAGTATTCTAAGGCAATAATAGCATATAGGCTCAAGTCCGTCAAAATTTATTTTTTGGGCAGAACCGGGGATTGAACTCAGGCCTTTGAGCTTGCCAGTTAAGTGCTTATTCCACTGAGCCATCTCCCTGGCCCAAGTCTGTCAAAATTTAATAGTGAAGTTAAGCACAAACTTTATTTGATGTAACAGGAGGTTCTGATGAAATGATTTTAGCTAATGGCACAAAGTCTCCAAATCTGAAGGGTGGGGGGTATTTCAGCAGTAGAGCACCTGCTCAGCATGTGTGGGGCCCTGACTCTGACGTAAGAACTACAGAAAAAATCATTCCCCCCCCCCCGCCCCCCGCTGGCTGAGAATGCCTTCAGGGCAGGTTTGGCTGGCTTAAGTTGTGGGGATCAAACCACAGCAACCTGAGGCTGACTGCTTTGTTGAAGCAGCCACTTAAACAACTGAGCTAAGGGGCAATCCCCCTTAATTTGAATTTATCCTAATCTGATTTTATTTTGGCCAGCTCAGCCTACCCTGAGGGCAGGGCTAACACAGTATGTGGTGCCAGGGATCAAACTGTGGTCCCCTGCATCTGCCTAAACTTGCCTAAGCGGGTGCTTTAGACCACTGAGCTATCTTGCTGGCTCCTAATTTATGATTTTAAAAATTTTTTCTACATAAAGCAATATATAGCCTATCACAAAAATCTTCACATACAAAACATACCTCGATCACAAAGAAAATGCTTTGTATTAAAAACAGCCAGAATTCCTGCAATTCCAGCTACTGGGTAGGCTGAGGCAGGAGGATAATGAGTTTGAGGCCACTCTGGGTTACACAGCAACAATCTGTCACAAGACTAACAAAAGTATTTGTATCATGGGGGGGGTGTGACAATCTGTGATTGTGTCCTGCATGAGAACGTATAAACACTTGACCATTGGGTTCAAGCTCTAGAACTGCAGAGATATGTTCTCAGCTAGACACATGCAGGAGATATAGAATCAGGATAAATTACTAAGGTAGTGAACAAATAAAACATGAATTTTAGGTTGACTTAGCATCATATATGGGTATGGATGGGCCGGAGAGATGGCTCAGTGGAGTAAGTGCTTCCCTGGCAAGCGCAAGGACCTGAGTTCAATCCCCAGTTCCGAAAATAAATATATATTATATATATTATATAGATATAATATAATATATATGGGTATGGAACCACCACAGCAAAAAAATTTCCTTTTGGAAAAAAATGGAAACCAAGCTTTTGTAAATAAGAGGGACTGTAGCAGAATGGGGGAAAATTAAACTATGTCATGTACAGGTACAAATTCCCTATAATGAATGTGATCATTAACCAATAAACTTAAAATTTCCCTTTTATATCAGCAAATTTCTGAAAAGCAGGGCTAAAAACATCAGAAAAAGTAACTTTGAATATATTAAACTACTGTTTTTTTGGAACCGGGGATTGAACTCAGGCCCTTGTGCTTGCCAGGGAAGCACTTACTCTACTGAACATCTACCCGGCCTTTAAATTACTTTTAGAGTTTCTAGTGATCAAACCCAGAGCCTCACACATAGGAGGCAGACAAGTGCCTTGCCACCCTGGAACTACAGTTCCTGGTAATGTACTGGTGTGTAACAGTGCCAAATAAAGCAGCAGCAAAACTCACTTTCTAGTTCTTAATTCTGATTGTTGTAATCTGGGGTTTAAGCACTAGTCACGATCTTGTCCATTACAAAAATAAGTGGGCAAAACATTACCCTATGGATGTACAACCTCCTACTTCTACAGATGTGAAAGAGGCCCACAGACTCTTCAAGTGGTTAATTAGCACAAGACCTAGACTTCCTAACTTGCAGGTCCACACTGAAATACAGTAATTCAAGGTGAATAAGTATTTCCCTACACCAACAAATCATTAAGTATAATTTATAACCATCTATTAAAGGAATACAAAGCATAACTAGCCTGACATTAAACCAGATTTATATATATTACAAAAAACACTATATGAAAATCAATGGTATCTTTTGAGTATCAGATCCTAAGTGTTTTGTGGTGCTGAGGATAGAACCCAAAGCCTGCATGCCTGGGAAGCACTCATTTGTCCCAAAGCCCTTTATATATTTCATCAAACTTAGTTAGCAGTTAACCTGAGCTCAACTTAGCTCTGCTAAATATGGATATAGTCAAGCTTTGCTGATGTGTATGAAATTTCCTCTAGGTAGACAGAAACTACTTAGGTTTAAATTTTTTTTTTACAGAACCAGGGATTGAACTCAGGCCCTTGAGCTTTCCAGGCAAGTGCTTATTCTACTGGACCATCTCCCTGGCCCCTAATATTGAAGTATTTAATTATAATTTTATATTTCTTAGAATATCTTCACTCTATTCAAATAATCAAGCTAGCAAAATGACTTGTACTGACAGACTCATGCATAACAGGCTATCTAAAGATGTCTTTCAGTATGAACTGAATTTGCTATACATAAATTCTACTGAGTATCAATAGGTATTATCAAAAGGAGACTATTAATAACTGCATCACATAAACAATTTAAAAAGCATATACTAGACAATGCAAAATAAAACATTACATGATTTTTATATTATTTTCTGTACAGAAAAATTTGGTGAGAAGCTTCACACATAATTTTTATTTTTTCAGAACCGGGGATTGAACTCAGGCCCTTGTGCATTCTACTGAGCTATTTCCCCGGCCCACACACATAACTATTTTTTGGGCAGAACCGGGGGTTGAACTCAGGCCCTTGCGCTTGCCAGGGAAGCGCTTTATTCCACTGAGCCATTTCCCCAGCCCCGTTTCACTGTTATATAAATCACATTAAGTTTGACCAAAATAATTCCCACCTCAAGTGGTTAGATATTCTTTAGCAAAAGATTGCATGAATCTTTCATGAAAAGAGGCTAAAAAGTTCAAATACCCAGGTTACCATACCTTTGTCAAGAATTTGACACACTACCTGCTGTAAAGCATACAGGTCTGCCTAGTCTTTTGTTTTAATGTCCTAAACTTAAGGTTACTTCTACATTCAACAAAGTTATCTAAAAATTGACAGTTAAACTTTATTTCTAGCTATCCTCTTGAAATCATTTAGGTTTAGTTGATACTTTTGCTACCATGTAGCAATCTTTTCACGCCTACCACAGAGCATCCCTACATCCACAATATACTTGATAATAGTCTATGCTAAAGTAGCTGGAAAGTATTACATTTGCTAAGAGGAAATTATTTTTATTTTTAGAAAAAGCTGATTTTTTTTTTTTTTTTTTGCGGAACCAGGGATTGAAGTCAGGCACTTGCGCTTGCCAGGGAGGCGCTTATTCCACTGAGCCATCTCCCCAGCCCCTGTACTTTTTTTGTTTTTGGCAGAACCGGGGATTGAACTCAGGCCTTTGAGCTTACCAGAGAAGCGCTTATACCACTGAGCTGTCTCCCTGGCCCCGCTGATCTATATTAAGGTAGTTTTTGTTGTAGTTTTTTGGTAGTGCTGGGGATAAAACCCAGGTGTGTTCTACTAC